GGGATTTACAAACGCTTCGTGAATCATTTAAACCGAATCGTTAAAACGAACTGACTCAAACGAACGATTCATTCGCGAATCGATTCGGAAAGTCAGCTCTGCGTTGGAGAATCATGGCGGAGAAACAAATGACATGCTTAGGGACCTAAATTACACAGAGCAGAAGAACCGGCGCCCGTGGACACTGAGATATCCGTGGAGGTAAGAGAAGTAGACGACTTGATTGTCGCAGAAGCTGTAATTGTTTGTAACTCGATTAGTAACTTTATTTGGATCATTTGTTGGCGCTTATGCTGAGCTATTGTTCCGCGGCGAGTCCCACTGGAGCAGCTGTAGAGGGTTTGTGGGCAGGTTTAACACCGACCGCGGTAGTTCTTCTTGATCATTTGAAGAACATGATTTAGTCTAGTTTTGACTTTTTGAACAGTATCTTAAAGTGCTGAGACTCTGTCAGATATTGATCCCTGAATTACTGCAGACCGATGGATCTGCCTGCAAATCACTGTAGGAAAGTTTTGATCCGAGTTGAACAAAGTTTCTTTGCTCAAGGAGATGAGTCAGTGTGTAGATTATATCTTTCTAACAAAAGACAGCTTCAGTTTAGAATGTTGCATTGCTTCTGTTCTTTTCAGATGAGCGCGGGGGTGTTCGATACAATGTATCAGAGTGACCCTGAAGGGCGCATGCCATTGTCCTATTGAGGAGACAGGACCACGGAGCTAAAATACAGTTTTAACGTTGAACACTTTGAAAGTCATTGAAAATGATCAGAGCAGAGAGCAAGGGCACCCTACGGAGTGCGTCCCCGCACAGAAATGCGTACAAGACGGACTTCCACTCCATTAAGTGCTCTTTTGATGGGACCAAATCCGACAGCGAAGCCAACTCTTATGCTAATGGAGCCAGCGACCCCCGGGAGGACACCAGAGGGAGGCCGTTTGGCAACCGGGTCAACAAAATAAAGAACATTTTCCTCCAAATGGACGGCCAGCAACCGCCGGAGAGTCAGGAACCGGCTCACAAAACGGATGCATCTTCTCCTGTATCGCCAGTGTCCAAATTCCCGGTCAGCACTCACAAAACCTGCCTCAGTAGCGCCAACAACCAAGAGCTGCAGAGCGCGGACAGAACTCCAAAGGGAGAGGAAGTCGAGATAGATAAAGTCGCCCTGGCGGAAAAATTTTCAGTTACCAGAAAGCTATTTGAGAGAGGGGTAAAAGAGCAGCCTGGCACAGAGAGGCCGGGGCCCGGCAGGGTTTCTACTCGTCTGTCCCAGGGGAAGGTTCCTGAGGAGGGGCGTGGGGCCCGGAGGTCCTTTGGATCTTCTGAGAATAGCAGCAGTAGTGTCATCAAAAGCCCGACGTCACCCGTGAGGAGTGCCCCAGAGGAAAGGAGGGACATTGAGGACTCGAAACAGGTCAATAGACTGTCACTTAACGCCGGGCCTATTTCCAAGTGGTTGGAGAACTTCATTGTGGATGGCGACAAAGGAGAATCAGTGCAAAGTCCTGAGAAACTGAGCAGCCCTACTGAGCGCTCGCTGCCATCACCTCTACGAGGGAGTTTCCAAAAACCCAGCTCGCCTGGTGCTGATCCAGCACACAAACCTACGTCCCCAAACTCTGACAACTCTAAAACCGACTTCAGCAGCCCTCTGTTCAAGTCCATCAGCCCGATTTCATACAAACCCATCTCTCCGACCAGCAGAAGCCCCGGCGAGCCTCTTTCTCCCAATGCTCAAAGCCCGATTAAGCGTTCGCCGTCATCAGGAAACGACTCGGTGAAAGACTCCACGACAAATGAACCACCTCAACTTAGTAGTACTCCTGCGAAAGATCTCAAAGCTTCACCCTCTGCCAGCAGCATATATAAACGGCCCTGGAGTCCGGAGGGACCAAAAAGCGAAAACCACATAATTTGCAGTCCGTCTAGGGACATACATCAAGAGAAGGCCACACAATGTCTGGACCCTACTGGTGCAGGAGTGGTACGGGCCGAGCTGGTAGTGGTCCAGAACGAGTCTTCAGAAAGCGAGGAGAACGATGAAGAGTTTTTGGAGGAGGTGAAGCTGCAAAGGGAACTTAAATCGGAGGCTCCGAGAAAAGATGGGACTGACTCTCTGCAGGTGTCATCACCTCAAAACCATACAGAGGACAAACAGCTGGGGAAGGATGCGTGTGTATCAACAGAGCTGGAGAAAGAGGAACCAAATCAAGAAGAAGAAGAGGAGGAGGATATCATCCAAAAGAGGAGTAGCTGTCATGAAGATGATGATGAGGAGAGTGAGCAGGAAGATCCAGATGAATGCGGGAAAACGTCTCCGGTGTTTTACAGTTTTGAGAACGCGGCGTTTGTGGATGATAAGGAACCGGTTCAGGACCAGCAGGATGAGGAGGATGAAGATGAGGTCTATGAGGAGTATGATGAAGCTCCTGGTTTGTCTGAGGATGAGGAAGGGCCTCCAAGAAGGAAAATCAGATTCTCCACTGAGCCGATACGGGTAAGCAATATCATTGTGGAAAAAAATTAAAATGTATATATATGTGTATATACATGTGTATATATATGTACTGTATCTGTGTGTATATATATATATATGTATGTGTGTGTGTGTGTGTGTGACCCTGGACCACAAAACCAGTCTTAAGTGTCAATTTTTCAAAATTGAGATTTATATATCATCTGAAAGCTTTTCCACTGATGTGTGGTTTGTTAGGATAGGACAATATTTGGCCGAGATACAACTATTTGAAAATCTGGATCTGAGGGTGCAAAAAATCTAAATATTGAGAAAGTTGCCTTTAAAGTTGTCCAAATGAAGTTCTTAGCAATGCATATTTACAATTACATATTTACAAAATATCTTCATGGAACATGATCTTTACTTAATAATAACCTAATGATTTTTGGCATAAAAGAAAAATCTATAATTTTGACCCATACAATGTATTTTTGGCTATTTGCTACAAATATCCCCGTGCAACTTAAGACTGGTTTTGTAATTTTTTTTTTCTTTTCATTATAACATTTTTGCATGATAGTTAGCTGAAAATTCAGCATTTCACTTCTGTGTCTCATTTCACATGTCTGTGGTTTGGAATGCAAAATCCGCATTTGTTTTGAATTGATTCGTAGAAAAACACTTAATTTACGGTTTAAGAGCACTCAGACACGTCACTGTGGCTTTGGAAAGGAGATGTTTTGGGGACATTTCAAGCTGTCTGTGAGGCCCGGGGTCAAAGCTCTCACAACAGTTGGGCAACAGAGAGGCTCATTGCAGAACATTTGTCTGGGGGTTGAAAAGGGGGAATATTTTTAGAAATAGTGTTGAGATTGTGATTCACTGAGGCACAGAGGGCTGACCTGAAATGCTGATGGTAAATAGAACAGAAAAGTATGCTGGCACAGATCCATGTTTTACAAGCAATGCTGATAGTACAGTGCTCCTCAGAACAGCCTTCAGTTAAAAAGCCAATTGAGTGAATCTTACAAAGCCTGTGAAGAACATGTCTGGGTCATATCTGAGCCTAAAAAAAGGTAGAAAATTATGATATGGGATAGCACTATTTAATGAAAGTTTTTGGTTGCTAAAATTCTTCACACACCTTCAATCTTCATTTTGATCTCTCTCTGTCTCTCTCATCATGTGTAGCCTACATGTACATGCTCCATGAGATCTTAACTTTTAATCAAAACTGTTGATTGAAGAAAATGTGGTGCTGCTTGTGCAAAAACAACCTCTACAATGCAGTGTTCTGGGTGGTTGCCTTGTGGTTTTTAGTGTGTTCTTGGCATAGATATGTAGGTATAGATGCTTTATTAGTGGTTGTTTCTATGGGCTGCTGTAGGTAAGCCGTCTGTCATATTGGAAATGTCAAAGCTGGTCTGTGAACACTTGAGAGCACGTTGACTGCATTTGCAACTGTAGGTATACACAAGTATGAATATCTATGTCTACAGTAGACATAAGTAGATGATTTTGCTAAACTAACACCACAAAACAATACGAAGCCATTAGCTAAAACATTAAAGAGTTACCATAATTTAAAAGCCTATAGCAGATTGAGTTAATACATGTTAAAAACACAAACCAACACATTCTTACCTGTTCAAGTTTATCCCATTTTTTGGGGAATTTAAATTTTGGGGGTTTTACAACCAGAGGCTGTGGAATTTTGTGGGCTTGTGGCAACCATACCAGCAAAAGATCCCACCAAAGACCTTTAATCAGGGTAGCACCATATTTACACCTTAAATGCATGAATGTTTTGCCAATCATTGTTACAAATATTACAGTCTTTAGCAACCCGGACCTATCAACCCGATCTCATGGCAATTCATACATATTTTACGAGGTGGCTAATTCATACAATTTCGTATGACCTCACTGGTATGAATTTGTACAAATGACCACATGCATAGTTGAATGTAGTATGTAATGATTGTCATTAAACAGGGCAGAAATCAACTATGAGTGATTTATAGATTTGTTTTGGGAGAACTTAACTCTGTGTGTGTCCACTGGTCTGCTGCTTTGAGGTATGTCTGAAAATTGTGCAGCCGTATAGTTGGTCTTCAGTGTACTCTGATTGATTGCTTTCAGTACACAGTCAATAAATCATATAGACCATTTTGAGGGATGTAAACAATAACCATGTAACATAATGTTCCTAACGTATTTCTTGTTGTACACTTTTAATTTCCATAACTTCTGGGACTTCAAAAAGGTCCACATTTTGATAAAAACGTTATGATAACCATGTTAACGTTAGGTACCGAAGTGCCTCCTGTTACTGTTTTGAAATAGTTTGACTATAAGCAATGTTCATGGGACAATGACATCGCCGCATATCGAAGAGTTTTTAAATGTATTAAAATAGTTGCAAAAAGCAAGTTACTGCCAAAAATCGCATAACCAAATCTCAAAATGAAACATCATGCACCTTTTTAACACATAAAGTAACAAAATTTGGGATTTAGTACAGAGTCATATCACACAGGATCATGATCATTTATGTTATTGTTCATTGGTGTAACTTCCAAGTTTGTGAGTTTTCAGCAGCTTGTGGTATCTCTAAAGGGTTAGTTCACCCAAAAATGAAAATGGTCATTTACTCAGCTTCATGTCATTTCCAACCCAGACTTTCATGCATCTTCGAAACACAAATGAAGATATTTTAAATGAAGCCTGACAGATTTCTGTCCCTCAATTTAAAGTCCATTCACTCTTCAAAAAGTTAATGAAGGTATCGTAAATGTAATTCATATGAATCCACATCCTCTGAAGAGACATGATATGATGAACAGATTGAAATTAGGCTTTTATTCACATTTAAACATCGATCAACACACATAGAGCACAACAAATATGGTAAATGCATGTTCAGACATGCTTGACAAGCACAAAACAATAAGGTTCCCTATCGATACTTCATTCTTACTTTTTCTCAGAGGACTGAAGACTTATTCAATCACACAGTGTAACTGCATGGCCATTGGTTCGTGCAGTGATTATAAAACAAACTAATGGCTCTGCAGCGGTGCTCTGAAGCCCGCCAGAATGGGCGGGGCCATCTGGCTAATTTTGAGGGATGTAAACAATAACCATGTAACATAATGTTCCTAACATATTTCTTGTTGTACACTTTTAATTTCCATAACTTCTGGGACTTCAAAAAGGTCCACATTTTGATAAAAACGTTATGATAACCGTGTTAACGTTAGGTACCGAAGTGCCTCCTGTTACTGTTTTGAAATAGTTTGACGATAAGCAATGTTCATGGGACAATGACATCGCCGCATATCGAAGAGTTTTTAAATGTATTAAAATAGTTGCAAAAAGCAAGTTACTGCCAAAAATCGCATAACCAAATCTCAAAATGAAACATCATGCACCTTTTTAACACATAAAGTAAGAAAATTTGGGATTTAGTACAGAGTCATATCACACAGGATCATGATCATTTATGTTATTGTTCATTGGTGTAACTTCCAAGTTTGTGAGTTTTCAGCAGCTTGTGGTATCTCTAAAGGGTTAGTTCACCCAAAAATGAAAATGGTCATTTACTCAGCTTCATGTCATTTCCAACCCAGACTTTCATGCATCTTCGAAACACAAATGAAGATATTTTAAATGAAGCCTGACAGATTTCTGTCCATTCACTCTTCAAAAAGTTAATGAAGGCATCGTAAATGTAATTCATATGAATCCACATCCTCTGAAGAGACATGATATGATGAACAGATTGAAATTAGGCTTTTATTCACATTTAAACATCGATCAACACACATTGAGCACAACAAATATGGTAAACGCATGTTCAGACATGCTTGACAACCACAAAACAATAAGGTTCCCTATCGATACTTCATTCTTACTTTTTCTCAGAGGACTGAAGACTTATTCAATCACACAGTGTAACTGCATGGCCATTGGTTCGTGCAGTGATTATAAAACGAACTAATGGCTCTGCAGCGGTGCTCTGAAGCCCGCCAGAGCCCGCCAGAATGGGCGGGGCCATCTGGCTACATAAGCGGGCATTTCACCATAGGATCTCAGATCAATTCTCCTTCAGCGACGACGATCTTCCCTTCGCTGACCTTCAGGACTTGAAGATGCTCGCCATAGAAACGCCTCGCTGCAGATAGAAGCTGCCGTCTCTTCTGCGCCCTCTCGCTGCTCCACCTGCTCTTCGAGCTGCTCAGCGACCAGCGCAGACGCCAGCTCGTCCCCTGCTGCCATCTGGCGAACCTAAAAGCTAATTTCTCACTAAAAGAGCACCGGCGTTGTTTCAAATGCCGCACCTTTATTGCACGTCATGCAGTATTGCACTGCACGATGGTGACGGCCACTCAGAGTGCGTTTCCTGCTTGAGTAAGCCCCATGCGGAAGCCGCTCTGACCGAGATGGATTGTTCACATTGTGTGAACATGAGTCTCGCTACTCTGCAAGCTCAGATCGCTTTCTTTTTAGAGAGCGAATCCTCCCTTCGTGCCCTTCCGTTTTCTTCCTCCCAGGGATCTGTGAGGAAAAAACAGAGGGGCAATCGGCTGATGCGAGCGACATGGTCTCGTTCAGTACCGTAGAGAATGAGCTGTTAGATGACAGCATGTCTCTAATAGCATCAGATGCGGAGATGTCGGGCTCTATTGCTGACCCCGCCCCTTCATCGTCTGCTGAGCCCAGTGACTCTAAGCCAGGGATAGATGCCGAACTTTTCTGCATCCTCTCTAAGGCAGTTGAGGAACTGGGATTGGAGTGGTCTATGCCAGAGGAGCCCACTCGTAGCCGTCTGGACGAATGGTTCCTGCCGGGGAGCCGCCAGGCCCCTTGTCAGCGAACCTCTCCGTTTTTCCCGGAGAAAATCTGGGAGATCTTTGGCAAGGCAGAGGTCGACCTCTTCGTCTCAAAAGACAACTTATTTTTCAAAGAATGAGGACGCGTTGGCCCACGAATGGCCCAACCTCCTCCTATATGCTTTTCCCCCGATCGCCCTGATG